ACCGCTGATTACAGAACCGGCTTTACTGATAAGATGCGCGTTAAATATCGCATGCGATTTATCGTGCAGCCCTACTGTCTATCTGTCTATCTATCTATCATCTGTCTGTCTGTCTGTCTTTATTTATGACACACATTAAACTGTGCCTAAGCTGTTTGACTAGCATCATTATTGAATGTTTAATTTACAAATGGGTTATTTTGCTTCTTAAATATTGTGTTTCTGTGATGGAGTGTGGTGGTGTGTGTAATGCCGATATTTCGTTCTTGATGTGAATGTGTGCCTCAGTGTGTGAAGGCTCTGCTGTACTTCGACCTGCACTCCTGTCGACTGAACGTTCAGAACGATAAGGGAGACACGCCGCTGCACATCGCCGCTCGCTGGGGTTACGAGGGCATCATGGAGGTGCTCCTGGAGAACGGAGCATCAACCCTCATCCACAACAAAGCCAAGGAGACTCCCTTACACTGTGCCCTCAACTCTAAGGTTCGAGTTATGTGCAGACTGGATTCTGTGCCTCGATTTTAACAGCATCTCACACCTACAAACGTAGAGTAAACGGTTTGTTTTAATATCAGCAGAAAAGCATTTTGTAGATGATGTTGTATTATGTGTGTTGTAGATTCTGTCATTGTTGGAGTGCAGACATAATGACTCCAGTAAAAGGGAAAGTGGATTCGAGGTGAGTTTAAAATGTCATGTTCAAATGTCTAAAAAAGTTTGTTTGTGCAAGCTGGATTTGTTTCTCTAAATCAGTATTTTTTGTAATACTCTTTTTATTACTTTTTCTGCCAAACCCCTTAGATGTAAAATGTTTGCTTAAAGTTAATATTTCAATAATTTAATGACACATTCGCATGTTCAAGGTTCTCTTATGTCATTTAATCATAAATTGTGATAGTGTCTAAGTTCACATTACATTCACACTGGTGTTGTAGAAACCTGACCAAATTGAATAATAATAATAATAATATTTAATGCACAATACTTAGCTTCACTCTGAAACACAGTTTTTTAATTAAAACGCAACCTTTTATTTAATAATTGCCTTAAGCTGTATCGCAATTATCATGCAGCCCCATTTATATATTTTAATGTTGCATCTGATATAATGATTAACTTGTCATCAAGTGTGAACCCGTGTTTGGGTCTGTCTGTGTCTCAACCGATGAAACCATTCTGACAAGTTGCAAAACATCTTGAGCAACAGAGAATAACGAATACTTCTGCTGGATGATTGTGTGCTGACCTGGAGAATCTGTACAGAGGAAGTATTTTAGCAGCAGACCTTTTGATAGACTCTCCATTTCTAACCTCCCCTGAATTTCTCTGTGATTGTTCAGTCTCCGAGTCGCTCTCCTCAGCCGTCTGACTGCAGCAGTAGACGTTCATCTATGTCCAGCGCGTCTTCATTGAGTGTTGAGGCCACACCGCTGGAGACCGAACGCATCCGACACAAAGAGGTACGGCAGTGCCATCTGAAGGACAGACCATAGCGTTACAAGACAAGATGAGATCAAAGAAAGCCCTTGTTCGTCCTCAGAGTGAAATTAAGCATCAAAACGTACTGCAAATGCAAAGTTAATTATGTAAAAATGATGTAAATCTCACTACACAAATGTAATATCAAAAACATTTTCGTTATATGTTTGAACTCTTATTGTAAAAGTCAATTAAAATTGTACTGTAAAATAAAAACAAAATTTGATAATTATAATAATGTATTTTGTACTACAGGTTACAATACCAATATTTATGTCTTAATTTTTTTTTACTTTCGAACGTTCTGGCTCAAATTTCAAATCTTCGAACTTTTATTGTGGCGAAATACTGGTGAAATGCTGTAAACGAGGGAAATTTAGCACCAAAAATTACTGAAAAAAAGTACGTTGATTATGTGAAAATGATGTAAAATCAATACTTGATCAGTGTTAGAGACAGTAAGTGAAAGAAAATGATGGTTTGTATTTTTTCTTTTTTTTTATGGGAATTTGACTGTTAAAAATATCATATATCATCACTTATTAATTACTGAGAATGTTGTTTTGTTTGTTTTTTACTTGTGGAACCCTGCTATTATGTTTTCTCTTTCCTGTGTTTGGTGAACAGGTGGAGAAGTTGTTGAGAGCCGTGGCTGATGGAGATGTGCAGATGGTGAGCTGATTTCGGGTCAAATAAAACCTTCCTAAAGAGGATTCTGTCATGCTTTAATCTTGCTTTAATAATAATAATAATAATAATAGTTCAACACAGAATGACAGTAGTGTGTGTGTGTGTGTGTGTGTGTGTGTGTGTGTGTGTGTGTGTGTGTGTGTGTGTGTGTGTGT